CTTTGTAAACCAAACAGACTTTACCATAGCTGTCACATGGATCTAGCTCAAAAACCTTGCAGCGATTATCAAAGTGTGGTTTTATATGACCTGGTGAGGAATTGAAAACAAAGGAAAGAACATCATCTGATGATCACTAGCACTTCTCAGTTTTAGCTGGGACAGATCTTTATTATTGACAAAATCATGGTATTCAAGGTCCTGTTTCAGTGGTAGATCCAGGGGGGTAGGATGAGTGGGGTTCAGATCCCTCTCCATCAGATCTGACAAATTTTTGAAAGAAAGCTTCTTGAAATGTGGGATCACATATTACTTCTTAACAAATATATTCACTTGGCCTGAATCATTCCTTTGCTTATATATGTTAGGGTCCAACATAAAGAAAAATAGTTTTTTTTTTTTTAAATCAAAGGATGCTTCCCCTCTCCCCCTCCCTCTGTTAAATTCCTGGATCTGTCCCCATGTTTGGTCAATACCTTGGCCATCTTCTTCATCTGAATCAGTATCTAAATCAGCCAATGAGGGTTTGTCGTCACTAACAGATGTTGCTTTAGACAGCAACACTAGACCTGTAACAGGATTCAGCTCCATTTTTCCCAGTGGTAAAACACTCCCTGATAAAATGGAGAAAATAGATATGAAACAACGAATCAAACAGTCAAAATGTTCAGTGATGATTCTAAGAAGTCTTGCGAGCCAAGTGACCCAAAACTCTTTATGACCAAAGTTTCCTGCTTCCTGCAGCCTGTGAAGGCATCAGGAAACATTTACTTTTACTCGCATTATTTTTTCAAAGATGCATTGTCAATAATTACCATCAAACTTGATGTTCCACTGAATTAACAGTCCATTTGTTGTGAGGAAAAAACTCTTCAAGTCCTCTGGCAAGATACACATGTTCTTCTATCAAATATACAGTGTTGAGAATGGTATGTAATCGTTTTTTGCTACTCATGCATAACACACTGGTCTATATAATGTAACTTCACACGATAATATTTATTCAGAAAATGAATTATTACCTGCTCCCAAGTAAAGATAATGTGTTTTTCCGCTGGTTGTCTATCAAGTAGACGGACATCTGTTACACCTGGCTTCTTTTCTAAAAAAAAAAAAAGTAGAATAGCGGCATATTGACAGGTGAGCTTACTTCAGAGTTTACCTTGAGTTTCATTAAATTTAAAACAGAGATTTGCATAAAAGTTAATTACCTGTTTTCTGTTAAAGTAAGTGTAAATTAAGTATTTTAAAAGAGGACTTACCAAGCGATCGAACTACTCCCAAAGTCATTGAATCAAATAATTCCCTTACTCGACTTTGTTCACTCGAGGACGCCATCTTGAATCCCAGGGCAACAGTTTTGGTTAGTTTTTGTCTCCAATAGGGAGGAGAGGGTAATGGAAGGATTATCGCGTTTGTTTTACTGGATACTATTTATTTGTAATTTTTGATATTTATGAAATTAAAAAAATTCAATTTTTTCTGTTTAAAGTCACACTAGAAAATTAAAAATTAAAAAAACAAACAAAACAAGTGAGGAACAACAATTAAAAACAGGCCTTACCTACCTACCCATGTTCACCTCAGAGAGCAAAATAAGCCGGGAAACTGGGAAAGAGGAGATGAGTTTTGTTCAAAATGGCGGCAAATTTGGACGAGTCGCTCGAAGACAACATTGATCAATTACCCGAAACTGCAAATCCTGTACCACCCAGAAGCTTTACTGTAGAAAACGAAAATTTAACCAACGAAGAAGAACAGTTATCTGAGATTGAAGAGCACGAAGACGAAGAAAGAAACCCTCTTTTGGAGCTGAAAAAGTGCAAAGAGTGGCTGCAACAGCAGAAGATAAACCATGAGGCTGAATTACTTGTCCGTGAGTATATTTCAACAACATTTGGTGTTAAATAAGCTTCTATGATTCATGAAATGCCGAAAAATTCGGACAGCTCTACTACATGAGCGTTAATCAGTGTACAGCCATCCAAATGGACTGTAGCCGAAATGGAATGGGCATGTACATTTCACGTAGACTAGTCGATTTCCCGGCTGATTAAAAATTGTAAAGAGCAAGTGCATCCACTTAATAGAAGTTTAAATTTCGATTAAATATCAGAGCTATCAATCAGCATGAAAGTACAAGGCAACAAAGGAAAGGAGGCGGTCTGATTCTCGCGGACGCTAAGCTGTTTTCAGGAAATTGTTTGTGTAACCGGTTGATGTCAGCGGCTTAAAAGAGGGTTGAAATTGATTCAGATGGTTATTTAACCTTTTAAAGGTTCCTCTTGGCATCTTAAATTGCACGTGCAGATGTGGCAGATTAGAGTACTTTGAAACATACATAAACTTCTGTGAGGGGAGGGGGGAGGGGCTGAGCTTCCCTCTTATTTTCGCTCGGAGGAGCTGTAGCCTCCCCTGCCCCCCCTGCTCCACTGCCTATGGTGTGGTATTGGAAGGGATTAACTAGAGGGGCCATGAACTAAATTGGCTGAGTAATGATAACTAGATAAGTAGATAGCCAAGCTGGTTGTGACTCTGTTGTCATACAATCAGACAATCACTTTTGACATTTTTTTCCTTCTTTGCCATGATCAGCAATGCAATTTTTCAAAACTGCACCTAATGGTAATCTCTTATAATAGTCAATTAGTGGTATGTTTCATGTTGCAATTCATCATGAATAATTTTTACAACTAAGGATAGAAATTAATATTAAGCTTTTCTCCACAACTATCAGCATTTGATCTGAATTAATTTCTTTTGTGAAGGACGCCTCCAGCAATGTGAGGACCAACAGCCTTCTACAAGTGTGTCATCGCAGTCTGATCTGTATGAAAGGTGTGTACAAATAAATCTCTGATTGAACAAAATTTAGGAGCCATGTGCAGGTTTCAATTTGACAGTCAAGCTTACCTGTAAGCTTAGGACATAATTTTAAAGAATATTTGTACAGGATTTTAATTTCATAATTTAAAGCATCTGTGGCTGAATCTTGATAATGGCAACAAGTTTTTGAATTTTTGTTTGTCTGATAGTATATTTATATCAAATTTGGATTGATATATCAGTTGCTGAGTTGATAGTTTTTTAATATATATCTAATCACATAATCAGTTGTGCTTGGTGTATAGGGATACGCTGTTATAGAGTTAATAGTTATTTATTTTTTGTCTCTCTCTCTTTCCTTTTAACTTTTTTTTGTTAATGTTTGATATAATTGTAGGATATCTAAGTTACAAGATCAGCTGTATTCCCTTTCAACTGCTCGCTCATACAAGAAGCTTCTCCTGGACAGGTCAGTTACCTTCAATCTTAACAGTTATAACTTTTTTATGTTTTAGTGCCTTCCTTCAGAGGGAAAGGAGTTGTTCTGAATGCTGTGTGTTTGTTTTGTTGTCTTGTAGGCTTCTGTGTGGTGACCGGTTGATAAAAAAACTGTTCCCAGATGTTGTGACAGACTCACCAACAGAAGAACAAACTGAAGAAATGAGGTAATTATTTATAACGTATAAAAATTTTAAGGAAGAAAATAAAGGGATCAGTTAATCCCATAGGCTTTTAAGATAAGAAAATTGGTCGTGAAGAATGGATCCATGAGGAAATGCTTTTAAAAGCTTTGAAATGTGAGGCACAAAACCTACAAATTAAATTAATTTGATTTTGGTTTATTTCCCAATTTAATTCACACCCAATATGAAATACCCCCTGTAAGAAAGATGACTTTAATCCTTTACACCCTATCATCAGTATGCAAGTTCTCCATACTGCTCTCTCAACATTTCCACTGGTACTTACCAGGAAAATTTGTCAACCAATCAAGAGCTTCTTGAATTTGTGGTCATTAATTCTTTATTCTTTTGACCGAAATTTGTTATTCAGGGATGATACTGTTGGAAGAAATAAGATGCTTTTTAGTTTTAGAAGGTGCTGATTGACATATAACTTGTGCATGAGAATATATCTTTTTTGAAAACAAAAACGTGCTCAAATTTGAATTTGGTAAGGTGTAACAAAATGTGGTGCCTTTTTAAGGACCTTATATTGAGTTTGTTAGCTCTGTAATGTTGTGTGGCAGAATGCTCAACATTGTCAATCAATTTTAACAATGAAAGTGAATATTATTTAGCATTATTGTTGAAGAATTTTAATGATGTGAAACCTTTTTTTTTTTCAGGATACAGGGAATAGTTTCCATGCATTAATTCATTTATTTTTAATGTTTTTTTATTTTTTTAGAGCTTTTGTTAAATTATGTGAAAAACAGAACAAGCTTAGCACTGAGATTCTTGTGGAACATGAGGTTTGTTTTGGAAGTCTTTTGACTTATGAGACTTAACTGTGCCTCTGAATAACATGTCAACTTTGTGGTTGAGCCAAAATTGTGATTTGTCTTAAGCTGTCTTCAATGACCTTCATTATGGCAGCAATTTAAAAGCAGAAACAAATAAAGTAGACCAGAATCCTCTAATTTCATTTTATGACATATGAAACTTTGTCTATCTTGTAAAGTTTAAGTCTTATCAACCTTACTGCCCCATTTCATGCTAGAGCTTATCCTGATTTCTTTGGCATAAAGCAACCAGTCTGAGAATGACTGAGAACACCCTTCCCATAAAGGTTGCTTTTGTATCACAGGTAACCAATGTCTGCCAGTACCCACTGTACTACTGGGGGGAGAGGGGTAAGGGAACAATTGTGGTGATGAGGTGTCTTGTCTAAGAACACTCAAGAATACATCAGTGACCCAGACTTCTAATTGCGGAGTTAAGCACACGGCCCACTAAGCCGTTGCATCATCCATTGTAATGATATTTTTATATCGTCATCGTTTTTTTTCCATAGACATTATCGGAAGCTCAGACTCTTTTAGACAAGCTGAAACGGCAAAGTTATGGTAAGGCATCTCACCGGAATGTCACAACATTTAACCATTTGGAGGGAAAGTTTTACTTTCAATTGATATGTTAATTTTAAGATTGAAACATGATCAATTTTTTTTCGGTGTTCTCCTCTTTCCCCTGCCTCTACCATAGCTTGCAGACAGGACACCGTTATTAGCGCTGCAGCACGCGCCTTTTTTCCACCAACGGGAAGATTTGAGACGAGTCGGGGTGAGGTTTGTCAGGGGTGTGGTCCTCACTCTCGGTTCTAGACCCCTTGTAGACGTCTCGCTGACTCGCGTTACCGTCAAGGCCTCATACTTTCCTACGGGAGAAGAAATAATAATGAGGGCTTATAGGCTACATCTACTAAAAGCGTCTCTTTTGCTTCATTTTTAACGTGAAATGGTACATGAACGTCAATTGAATCTTTTTACAGAGATAAAAAAGGAAAACCGAGGACTTATGAAACACCTTCAGGTAAGAAGACTAATATTGTGATTTGCATACATTGAATTGCAGCAATTTGTTTTAACTATTTCTCATTTCCCGTGAGGTTCTAGGTTGCAGGATTCAGTGGTATTCTGAATAAACAGTTGTAGAGTTTGAACACAATAGTCGCGTAATCCCAACGTTAGGCCAGTCAGAAAGCTTTCTTTTTTCTTATCACAATTAAATGAAACAAACCTGCGGGTGATAAGTGAAAGAAATCATATCTGCAGGACAGTTGAAATGAAAGACATCGCAGGAAAGAGGCCTGAAGAAATTTAATCCCTGCCAAGAGGGCGAGCGAGATAACGTTTCGCGAAGCTTTCGAGCTCGCTTTGCTAAAAAAAACAAAAAACATTGTAAAGAGGCGATATCAACTTTAGACAGGCCTCTTCAATATATCTCTCACTCATGCTGCTTGTCCTCTCTTCCGACAGAAACTTACAGACGACAAGGAAAATGCTTCTTCTGACCCTTCAGATAGCAGAGTAATCCAAAAGTAAGTGCAGAATTTCTTATGAAGCACATTAGTTATGGACAAGTTGAACATTTCTCCTTGGAAATCAAACATAATATATCCAATAGAACCAAATTTAGAACTCTTTCCCTAAAAAGTATCATGTCGCGGCAGTTAAATCAACTGTAAACTTAGCGGCATCAATTTTGAAACAGCTATATTCAATTAGTTAAAATTTACTGTTCAGCGAGGCTTTAACCGGAAAAGGTAAATGCTAAAGTTGAGAGAAGATCTACCGATTTTATTTCGAGGGTCCCCAAAAACTGTGTGACGGGATTTCCACATAACACCAGTATAGTGATATCGATTGCCATGATTCAAACTTCAATCCTTTGGTCAACACATGTGAGAATCGATCAACTGCAGAGGGGGAAAGTTGGTTTTTTTAGCGCGCCGAGGGTAGCCGGTCAGAGCGCAGGAGAACTGTTTCCAGCAACAGTTATCATTATTATGGCACCTTCATTGAATCAGACGCAAAAATAAAACCAATTTTTAACGTGGTTACTTGCGTTTCACGCTCTTTAGCCAGTTATCTACTTTGATGTCTCCGTGATTGTTCCATGTATCTTCCTTCCGAGAGGATTTAACGCTTTACACCTTACACATCAGTAAGCATATTCTCCATACTAGTCTCTATACATTTCCCATGGTGCAGACAAGGAGAATTTGTTTAACCCTAAAGAGCTTCTCTACTTAGTGATAATTTTCTGTACTCTCGTAACCCTAACATTTAATTCAGAGGTGATATTATCAGGAGAAATTAAATGCTAGTCACTCAGTAGGGCTTAAAGTCTTTAGGATTACCTGAGTTCTAGTTCCAGGACACTTGCTGCTCTATCACTAACATATGAAAGAGGTTACCAGAGTTGATTACAGTAATAAATAGGATAAAAACTGATCGCTCGGAAAAGCTACCGGAACCGAAAGACCGGCGGAAATTAATTCTTAGGGACCGAAGTTTAAACGTTTAGCGAATTCTTTCGTAAGGAAAACGGCCCATTCTTATTTGGTGGTGTTGTTGTCTTATTTGCTCTTTTTGAAAATTTTTCATAATATTTTTCATGGTGATTTTCGCAAAGTTATGATCTTTTAATGGATTAGACATTCATAACATCGTCGATAAATTGTAAAATGGTTACAAATACCAACGTCTGTACAGTCACATTTAAAACAAAGCCTCCTTTAAATTGAACAACACTAAAGTCACGAGAATAACCAGAATGATCGCAAAGTCAGGAAGCTCTTGATAGTTAGAACAATTCACCTTGTAAGTACCGTTGAAAATGTACAGAGAACAGTAAGAAAAACAAGCATATTGATGTTAGGGTGGAAAGGGCTGTTAATTACCAGTAATTCACATTTAACAGTTAAAAAAAAAAAATTTTTAAAAAATTGGCTTCTCACTGTAAGGTTTGACGGAGTTTTTAAACTTATTATCACCTAAGTGAAAATTAATTTTGTGGAAATCAGTGCTTCACTTGATTGATAACTAGGAAGTTGCCGCTTATGAAAATTAACGGGAATTTAATTAGAGAGCTATTCCATTGATGAAGTGTGAATTTCTTCTAATAAGATAACTGTGAGATACCTCAAGTTAATTCGCCCGGCGAAGTAACTTGAGGTACTTGTGGTAGTTTATCTTAAACAAGACAAACTACCACAAGGAATGCGAACAGCTTAACCCTTTTACAATCTAACATTAATATGCATATTCTGTCATACTGTTGGCGCTGATAAGGAGAATTTGTTCAACAATCAATCTTTTAAACCTAACAAAGTGTTTTATTTCCCAGGTTAAAACAGCAAATTGGACTCACAGTAGAAAAAATAGACATCCTCAGGAGTGTGTTCCAGGTTTGTGCACTTCAATCTCTTAATAAGCGCAGAGTTTACGACCTGAGGTGATTAAAAAAAAAGGAAAACATAACTTTGTAGCCTAATGTTATGGTGAGGTACACGCTCGATATGAGCTAAGTGTGCGGACCTTGTGAAAAGGTTAACGGTATTTTACGGTCTTCACGGCACCGTGACGCGCGAAACGCAGCCTTGGACCCTATTAACTCGGAGATGCACTAAGGGTGACGCTGAGTGTCGGAAAGTAATTCCGCCGCATTCTGATGTCTTCATATGTACGCTCCCTACGAGCTCAGCGAAAGAACCTTAAGGAAGGTTACTGGTTTGTACAGCACGTTAGGGGGCGTGCGAAACAAAACCCCGTTCCCTGATATACTGAGGTGCACGCCTCAAGCGAGTTCAGCATACGAACCGTAAGCAAGGATGATGGTTTTTTACGGTCCTTACAGCGCGCACGAAGCAAAACCATGTATCTTGTTGTTATCCTTAGATGTGCGCTCCTTCTGACCTCTGCGTATGGACCGTAAGCGAGGTTAACAATCCATACGAAGCGTACGAAACGTAACCCTGTACTTTGACGTCATGATACGATGCACGCTCCGTATGAGTTCAGCAAACAGACCGTAAACAAGGTTATAGTTCATACGTTTTGCAGGGAACTTGCGAAATAAGAACTTGTGTCCTGATGTTATAGTGAAATGCAAGCTCTATTTGAACTCCGTTTGATAAGATTAACTGAGTTTACAGTAAGTCACGGTACGGGGCACACGAAAGCTAACCCTTGAACCATGATTTTATATTGAGATGCACGGTCCATGGGAGCTTTGCGCACGAACAGCGAACTACACTCTCGGACAAATTTGTGGGGAACCTGCCTCCCCTGCCTTTCTCAGTGACAATTAACAACATTGAAAAGCGGATGGGGGTGAAAGAAGATTATAGACGTTGTTCCAGAGAAGCGACCCAACTACAGTCGAACCTGTATTATGTGGTTACCCACGGGGAATGGCAGGGTGACCGCTCAATACATGTTGACCTCTAAATACAGTCCTTTAGAATAGGGGTACGATAAAAAACGATAAAAACACCATTTTATGTTTTAATTGACCGCTTATGCTCAAAAACTCGCGTCAATATACTACCAACTTTGATTTCGGGAGATAAAAATGGATTGAATTTTTCTTGATAGATTATTGTTAGTTGTATTTGAGTGGTCCCACTTTAAGTGACCGTTCAATACAGGTGAAAGATTAGTAAAGACTCAGTAAAGGGTGACCACGACCTCTAATTAGAGGTGACCACTAAACAGAGGTGAAAATTACAGGAATTAAGTGGGAAAATTCATGACTGACAACCGACCGTTAAATACAGGGAGTCCGCTTAACCCTTTACCTCCCATGAGTGATCAAGACAGAATTTTTCCTTATGCTATCAATACAATATCAAGCATGCAAGTGATGAGAATAAGGTAAAATATCAAGTTGGAGATTGTTAGTTAATCTAATACCAAATTCTCCAAATTGACATCAAAAGAATTGAATGTCAGATAGTAAAGAGAATTACCGATGAGATCTTGGGAGTCTAAGGGAATGTAGGTTACCTGTTTGAACGGAGCACGCGACCTGTCATCTACAATTATAGTTATAGACTTGAATGGTATTATATATGAAGGGCTTGTTTAAAAGTCAGTAGTCTCGGTGTAGTTTTGTAAAGTATTGTATGCACTGTAAACTAATCTCAAACCCTCATCCCAATCACTGTCTCCTTTTGATTCTTAGAAGAAGTGTCTTTTCTTTTCTGTTTTTGCACTGATAGTAGCCGGTAAATTCACAATGCATCAGAGGTGTCCTAAGTGATAACATTTTTGTTTCAGGGTATTGTAGTAGGAAGTGGTATTGACTGGGCGGTGGACGAAGAGATGCGACGTCTTGTTCTCAGTCTTGGAGAGCTACTAGAGTTTGCGACATGACTTGTCCTCGTTCGACAGCAAAACTGAGCTTCCCGTCGCTCGCACTAGTAGGAAACAACTACTGAGCTAGTGGAGTGTCGAAATGAACTCACAAAACTTGAATGTCTCACACATATATTTATTTGACAATGATAACATGGATGGCTCACTTTTTAGTCAGGAGTTGCATCTTGGCCCTGCTGTCTTACTTAATCTTTTACACCCTAGTATCAGTATGCTTATTCTCCTTACTGTTCTTTATAAACCTCCTATCGTGCCAACAAGGAGAATTTGTTCAACAATCAAGAGCCTGTTTAGTTGGTGATCGTTTCCTTTATTCTCCTGACCTTAATCATAGAGCGTCTCATCGTGGCCTCCATGATTAGCTAAGATGCGAACATACGGCATAAAGTAATTACTTACTTATATTATACTGCTCTTCAGTGACTGTAATCTACGTTCTTAAAAGTTTTAGCACATTGTATCAGGGTCAAACAGACACTGTAATATTATAGACTATTTGTACGAAAACATAAATATACGTTATTGATCAAGCTTGTGAGGTCAAGATGGCAGGATATTGGCCGAGTTCTTTTTTCGTTGAAGTTAAAAAAACAATTCCGAGCTCTTACCACTGAAAACCTTCTATTTCCCTAATTGTTAGCCAAGAAGCAGATGGCTTTTGGATTTTCTCACACGATTGTTTTTTCAAAACATGATGATCAGGTTTCAAAATCGTTTAGAATCTGTTTGGTTTCTACATCATACAGAATCAATAACTGTTTATCACAGCATGATAATAATAATACAAATCTGGAATTCGTCGCGTTTCACAGCATTGCTTTGATTAACATGAAGTTTTTTTTCTTGCTCGGTGTATCGCAATCAAACTTGTGCCACGAGGTTCATGGTGTGTCAAGTCTGTCGGATCTTCTCTCATATGCAAAATGTTATGGAGAACATCCGATGTAAATTGCCAAGCTTAATTCAAACCTTTTGCTAATTAGCGCTATCACAAGATAAGAAGAACGCACGAGATAACTGAATAAGAGATAAGCTCAGAAATTAATGACAAATCTAAACTCAGCCGCGGCTACAAGGCTGTTCTATGGTTTCAATAAACTTTTCCATGGGTGGTTTCTGATTGTGTAATAGGCAGCTGTGCCGGGAGGCGAAATCCAACCACGAGAGCCTGCTCCAGGCTGAACAGTCGGCGCTGAAAGGTCTTACGGGCGGCGGTCTACAGCCATTATTGAAACCCCTCCGTGTGTCACTTGGAGTGAAATAACTTCGACTGATACACCTTTTTTTTTTTTTTTTTCCAGCCGCATGTTGTTTTATGAAGCCTTTTTTTTGTCTCTCGTGGCTTAGATCAGTGACTTCTGTTATCTCGAGGTGGTGGAGTTATCAAAACCATTAGATCTCTTTATTGCTTTTTGAGTGAGTGTAACACAAACAGCAATTCATCATTAGATTGTCATCGCGTTCGGTATCAGTGACTGTTGAATGGATGTGAGGACACATTCAGTCATTGTTACGGCAGTGTGCCACAGCTAAAAATGCTACGAAAATGGAAAGAATTCTGTGACTGTAGCCTTAAGGCCAAAATTAGCAACCTGGTAGTATATCAAAGGACTCGGGAATGAGACAAGGGTATAAAACTTGCGTGCGGGATCGAGGCTACCTCCAGGAATAGCTACCATCTGCAAGCCATATGAAATAGTTGTTCATTTTATCTCTGTATTGGTCTTGAGTCGGTACCATGTGTTGGCGTGATTCTGCCCCAAGTTTACCGGGTTGTGGGTGCTTTAGCTAGCTGTCACTATTTAACCTTTCCTCGTTAGAATTGTTTAGATTCGATTTTTCAATGTAGCAGCCAAAATGATGGTAACTGCTTGCTCCGTCTGCCACATTTTTCGGTTGACAGATTACTATTTGCGTGCAATTACCTCAATAATTAGTTTTTAAAAATGTGAAATTTCGTTTTGATTGCTTGGTCTCTCTCTGTGTTGTTTGCCGGAAAGAGTGTTGACACCGACTATGTTGACAGGTGAACATTCACAAACATATCTCTAAAATTGTCATGATCTCTGTGTTACTGAAAATAAAACAGTCGTCCAGGCAAGCCTGCAGGCTAATCTTCATCTCTCTATTGCTGCATCTGCAACGAATTCGACAAGTTTTCAAATAAACTTGGGCCCCAATATTTAGTGATTGAATTTTAGAGCTTTCATTTCCTTTCTTCTGCTCGAGAAGGGTATGATGGGGCCAACGTCTTGCTGCTTTTAATCCTATTTCTCACTATAGAAAACTGGTTGCAACGCTATAAACCTAAACAACACTTTCCTTCAACTCTGGAATACAGTTCTCGGTTTGCACTATTCAAACTTTCTGTGTTTGGCGCATTAAACTTGCTTAAGCCTTTTTATATATATATCCCTTAAACTCAACTCTAAACAAATTCCAGAGCGCCAGGTAAACTTTCAAAGGAAACCAACGAATTGGATTTACTGCATGCTTTAGGCCTGGAATCTTAATGATCGCTCGAGTTTTCCCCCATCTGCTCTAATGCGTCTTCGTTCGAAAACGCATGCTTTATAAGGCGTTCTTCGCCAATCATCCGAACGCTTAAACACTCGAAAACACCAATGACAACGGAGACTTACCAGCGAAAAGGTTGAAACAAACCGCGTTTAAAAAACAAACACGTTTTTTAAAAACGCACCGTTTTTTAAAACACATCGTTGCTTGTGTGAACAGGTGGAAATAGGCTTGCAGAAAACTGCGACGAAGTAAGCGTTAGTATAACTGTCGCTTCCACCAGCGTTTTCGGGCCTTTTAATGTGAGGGAAAGGTAAAGATGCATTTAAAGGTATACGCTTCCAAATAAAACGTAGTAGAGCGGTTAAGAGCAAAACAAAAACTTACACTAATGTGGTTTAAAATATTTTGCTTCGCTCATCTGAGACAAAAAAAAACTATAGAAAACACATTAGTGTGGTCTGGACACTTGAGACAGTTGTATTGATCCGAGCCGGCGATTATATACGAAAGCCATCCGGCCCTATTCGCCATAGGATCGCCTAAAGCGATCAACAGAGACGATCAGAACGATAAGCGTTGCAAACTAGGCTTTAAACATGAATCACTTGTAGGATCTGCCGCTGTTCGATGTAGTTGTTGTCTAAGCCTGACCGTTCACGACGTCTAAGAATGTGCTTTTGATTTCTTTCCAACTTGAACGTAAAACAGCTGGCGGAATTTCAATGGAATTGACTTACATCGGCGTTCAACATTCATTTTTAATTTTAAATAGTATTTCATAACGTCACAGACATGGTGTTTCGTGCCAAGGGCCTCTAGCTATTTTGGCTTTCATGTTGAATTTTGTTCCTCATTGCCCCCGCAAAGTTTTATCAGTAGTAAGCATTACTTCGATCTTTCCTGTAATAAAATTATTGTTCTTTTCAACTACTCCATTACTCTTTCAACTGATTTTTTGCAATTGGTGTTTGTTTAAAATGTTTTTGTGCCGTTTCGACCTCGAAATGAAGCCAGCTCAATTAGGTTTGGTATTGCACTTTCTAATTTATCAGTTTATTTATTTATCGCGAATATTTAACCAGGCTGGTCCAGTTCAGCTTCGAGCTGTTTTGAATTTGGATCTACTTCATTTGTCTCATTCTTTTTAATTTTTTTTTCAGTTCATTTTTTTGTTATTCATTTTTCGAACAAAGTGTGAAAGTGTTGAAATGGGTGAAAAAAAAGAAAACATCAGAATGTAAACCCTTTTCCTTAACAAAGCAGTTCGATCGAAGGCCTTCAGCGGAGAAAGGCAACAACATTCCTTTTAAATTGGTTGAAGTTTGGGAAGAATGTTCTGGCAAAGTGCGATAACACAATTTATTTTACAATTCGAACCAACCAAATAATCATCGAAAACAACCTATGGGAAAAAAGCTTTACAATCTGTGTGAATTCGGCAAGTCTGAGTTGTAGTTTTTAAATAAAGAGCAAATAGACATAATGATGTTTTACGTAGAATTTAATTGGGACGTGCAGGAACTTCCAAATGCGAAAAACACCTGTCGAACTGAGTAAGGCCTCAGAACTCCCTCTGCGATTTAACTATTCTCACGTTTACCGCACCTAAATCTTTTTGTTTATTTAACACTTTGCGTTAAGCTGACGCTAGACTTAACCTTAAAGGCGACTGCTATGTCACTTTTTCTTTCTTTTCTTTTTTTTCCTTGAAGATAGATGTCAAGATATGTTGATGAAAATGGGCCGAAATACCATTAACGATGTCTGCGGTACATTTTTTTCCGATAGCAAAATGATAATTTGAATGACATACCAGTTTGCGCCCATCCTGTTGGTTTGATTTGGAGGATAACAGGGAAGTCAATTTGTGTTTGAATTTACGGCTATTTTTACTTCATTTGTTTCATCTAGCTGGCGCTATGCCATTCGCGCATAACCCCTCACTTCTGATGAATCCTTTTATAAATACACTTTGTTATATCTGTGTCTTAATACTAGACAGGTTTGTTGATTTTTGCTGACATTAATTCGGAGATAATTAAAGTATTGCTGGCAAACATCCTTTATAAGAGGTATTTATTTTTCTTTGATATAATTTCCCCTTATAATTACAACTTTTCTTTCTATCCCGTCAAACAGCATTGAATATTACCGCGAACGACGCTATGCCACTTTAATTTTTTCCAACTTCCTAAAAACCTTGTTGTGCCTTATGAATTAGCTCATTTCTTTATGCGAATTATTAAATTTTCTCTATGTATTTCGGTCTCTTGAGAAAAGTACTTCGATCTATTTGTGTGGAAGTAACTTTTTAAGCATTTGCCGTCATTTGCAATTTCTGGGGACAAAAAAAATCCTTAAGACAATTTGTCTGGGAAGGAATTAAAGAACCGGTATGGCACGCTCGAGCGAATAAGTTTTTAATATTTCTCGCCTATATTCACGCGGTAAACGGTGGCGTTTCGACAATTTATGCGTTCTTAATGGTCGGCCAAGAACACAAAAAAAACACATTGTGAAGATATCATTCGCCGGATATTGAATTTCGACTCTAATAGAATACTTGTACTTTTGTGTCGAACCAAATTTGTTTCACCTAGGTGTCTGTCGTTTTTACTTCATTGAGTGAGCTTCGTTGATGTTATCACAAGTTGGGGCTCTAGCTCTGTCCATAACCTCTGGGCTCTCTCGGCAGCCGTTTTGAAAACAAATCAGTCTGCTTAATTGTAACCGAGATTTTTTTTTTTATGGAAATTCCGTAAATGGTTGCTCAATAACACAACCAAGCCCAAAGACGGCCCGACTTACATAATCGCCTTGATATGTTTTCGACACAATCAGGTTTCAGTAATTTTCGGTAATAAACGTTGTCAGGACTCAATAGAGAAATTATCTCGACCCTTTGATTAATTTTATCGAGCGAAGATTGCTTTAATTACCCCTGAATCACCTTGATCTGATGACCCGAGTGGATGTTGATTCAACTCCCCAAAATCTTGACCATGGTTACATTTAATAAAAACACTTCTTGAAGATATTGCTGAAAAATGCGCTGAGTATGGTAGCCTATACCTGTTAGCTACTGAGGTTTGGCCCACTATCTTCTCAAACTATTATTTCAAAGAGTCGCCGAAGGACAAAGAATGACTTTGCATTTACACCAAAGTTATTTTCAGCATGAGTGAGTATCACTCAGTCGACAGGACGAGATCGCTTATTCTGCTAATGATGATCTGTCGCTACGAAGACGAGAAGCGTATCAGATACCATCAGACGTCTCAAAATACTTCAACTCGCCAAGCAACGCGATTTTGGGACGCAAACGGCTAGATTACTTTTGGAATCGATCATAATAGCGGTCGCACTTTTCAACTTTAATAAACAACAAAGAAACGTTTAATTAGTGAAGGTTTGAGTGGGTAATTGTACTAGAATTTTCAACGAGGCCGGGGCAACGTTTCCTTCTTCAAAACGGATTTAGCGAAATTACCAACACTCATTCCTCGGGACAGTTGGAGTTTATTGATCAAATTATACATGACTGTCTGATAGCTGAATGTATTACCTACAACCATTCCGTGGTTTCCGGCCCTTGAAAATTTGAATTCGGTCTTAAGTCGGGGGTTTTGTTTTGACAAGCTTTTTGTTTCGATGTTATTAGTTGATTTATTGGGAAAATAGAGGCGATCTCGGACAAAGCATACAGGAACCAATCAGAGGGCGTTGTTGTTCAAGCCCCATTCTTCCGGCCGATTGCCTTGTTTCGGTTCAATTTAATCGCGAAATTGCCAAGATTACTGGTGTGTGAAGGCGTTCATGCGGTGAGATCTGTTGTTGGTTGTCGATAAGTACCATCTTGACCTCGAGCGCTTCATAAGTATACCAGAAGTGTTTGCCCCAGTTTGTTAAATCAACGCTACTTGAGAACGTGCGAACAGGTCCGCGGGAACGAGAGCGCGAAAACCGCGACGTGAATCAGTTCAAGTGAAAACTTCAAGCGACCTCTTAGATTGACAGATACAAGCCATTAAGCAATCACACAAGTCTGCTCATCGCAAGCTTTTCAGTGAGACACTTGTAAGCTAAGCCGAGTTCGACAACTGAACGGGCCTCATACAAAAAACGACATGGAGATTGCGCGTGTCTGTCTCTTCTTCTTTGTTTCACTCATCGTTCTCGCTGCGATAGACGGTCGTAAAAGAACCAGGTGAGTGGATTACTATTTTGTTATTTGTTTCAAAGTGTGAACGTTTCTCCGTGAAGCGAGAATTGCCTGGTTGGTGATTGACTCTCGAAGAGAAATTTTTGGTCGCGAGCTACATGCTCCACAACACAACTGCTAGCGCGTGCAAAGTCTTCATCAACCACGATTGGGTGGTCTCCGAGTCTAAGCCGTAGATTTACTTTGAATTGTCGCGACTCAGTAGTCTTTCTTTATACTTTGCAGGTCACCTCGCAGCCAAGATGCCTTGAGCTTTTGTTCATGGCTCAAGGATAACCAACAAAAGAAGTGCGAAGCGCAACCTCTGCTCGGCTTGTCCGCGCGAGATGGCGTCGAACTGGCGTTAAAAGAGTGCGGGAATATTTTCAAGGATCGTCGATGGAACTGTTCAGGTGTTACCATTGCAGACGTTTTTCAAAGGCAAAGAATGCTCAAAGCTGGTAAGTTGGGTATAATTTTTCCTTTTAATACCCACTTCGTTCTAGCGTTCCCTTCTTGCTTCCGCTTAGCAACTCTCTACAGTTACAATATCATAACAAATTTCCTGTCCACTCGTTATCTCTTAAGATTTATTTAAAAGCCAAGTGGTGAGATAAGCTGCCTTGTTCGCTACTGTCTTAACTATCGTTAAGGTGGGAAATACTTGTATTACAACTGGCCTCTTTGCGGTGAGTATATACAGACATGGACCAACTGCACAACAGATGTGTGTTGACCAGACGGAAAGAAAAAAAAAAAACATCTGAGAAAATGTTTTGTTGCAGAAATCCTTTTCATTCGCACTTCTACGGACCTCTTCAGACCGTGTCTATCACACAAAATTGTGGTCTGGATTACGTTTAGCAGACTCTGCAAATGTTGCGTGGCTTTTTCTAAGCCACAGAAGGCCCTGAGGCTTTAAACCGCCTCGCGCTCTTTGACGCAACGCTCCACATTTCAATTTACCTGTGGGGTGCTCGTTTTAGTAGATTTAAAGGTTTTGTTGGTTTTTTGGAAATCTCAGCGCCCTCCTTAAGTGATCTGTGTTTCTATACAGTTCTAAACAACCTTTCAACAACAGTTTTTGTTTGGCGCTCGATGATAACTGTGTGTTTGTAGCTACTGAAAGTTTTTGTTTGACTAAACATATCTGGCGATTCTATTTCTGCTTTCGCAATCGTCAACCTTGTCTATATGACTTAATCGGTACCTGTGTTGCACATGTGAAACGAATTTACCAGGCTTGAGAAATGTCTCGGGAATTTGCATCGAAGCAAACAGAGTCTTGATCCAAAAGTCAAACACGTTTTAGGAATTTTAGTCCCTCCTTGCAATGATTCACAGAGCCTCAAATATCGCATTCCTCCCGAGGAAATATTAATTTCATCGGGTGCCGTGTAACAGAGATTCACCCTGTAAGTTGGTTGCATACCAGACCACGATCGACCTAAACGCTGAGGGAGATCATTGTGTGAGGGAGATCATTCATGGATTTGCGGCCTTTGCAAGCTATACAAACACAATCAAAACGTGCTTTCTGTTGTCTTTGAAAACTACACCTGACTATTCCTGAAGTCAACCCCAAAAAAGGACCGCCTGAAAACGCGCTATGCGAAAAACGGCTGTTTAAGATATTAGTTGCGGGAAGGCTGGAGCACGATCACTTTATATCATTCCTTCTTATCCACGTTATCTGGGGCCGCGCAGACGTTGAAATATGTCTTCGTATGTGTACACAGCCTCGATAAGTTAATGCCCCTCGAGGAAAGCTTTGACATAAAGTGTCATTTTGTTTATAACGGGTGTCGTGTAGCAAATCTAGTGCGCTCGTATCAACTTCTGTGTCGTAATGGTCACTTTTCAGTAGAGTTATCGGATAACTCGCGTCACTCGACCTTTTTTTTCTTTGGCGGCTTTCGACAATTATCTAAAGAACACTGGTAGACATTTTGAAAACAAACACTTTACAACTTGGGGTGAACAGTTTCAGTGTGTACGATGTTCGTGTTTGCGTCTGCCTTCCTTAGGAAGACCACGTTCGGCTGGAAACTCAATTGCCGTTTCTTTTTTGAACGCTCAGTGTAAAAAATGCCCCGGTCGTGTTGCGCTTCACACAAACGTGGGCAAGCTTATCTCAGGAAGAAGCGAATAAGTTACAGAAATTAGCTTCACCTGCGTCAGTGTTTTACGCTTCCTGTGAAATTTACCGCAACATAAAAAAGTAATTGACGTCACATACTTTTGTCTGGCTTCTTTTGACTCTGTAAACACTGAAACACGGAATACTTTCTCTATTGCGGAAAGAAGTCAGGAGTCAAAATGTCTGTTGTAAAAAATTGTGGAATGGATTTGTTGTTATAACAAAGAAGCGTCGTCAACCTTGAAATGGTGGACATTATTGGCGCTCAATGCTTGAACAATTTTTTTTCCCGTTTTGAGTTAATTTACTAAAGAAAATTACCCTTAAAAACTATCTAGCCATGAATAATCCCAAAAGATATCTATTCTGCCGAGGTATCATTAATCTATTGCTTAATAATTGCGGTCTCTTCTCGCTATTATCGAGTTGTATACCCTAAAGGCATTAATTGCTTTTCATAACCTTTGTTCTTGTGTGAAATAGCCGTTTGCCAAAATTGCTCAACATGAAACACGAAACAAAACTTCGGGCGGTAATTGCATAGAATCGAAGTAATTGAGGGTTGTGCAAACGATCAGAACTTCAAACAAACTTTGCCAATTTTCTTTTAAATTAACTTTTAAACAATAGCTTTGTCATGGCAGGTTAGTCTTGCGTTGTTTTAAAAGAATAGTATTTGAATACCTTTGCTTTTCCTGTGTTAAAAGCTTGGCATTGAAGTTCTGCTAAGAACCAAACGAAACCAAACGAGTAAGTTTTTTCTGTGCCTTTTGTAAACAAAACAAATCAGAAAACTGTCCTAGGTGATGGTCGCGCTGTTTGTTCACAAAATCCCTAAATGTTTATTCTGTTAAAATTCTTGTTGGCTGTTTCTCTTGTTGGCCTAAGTTTAAATCTCGAAATTTTCGCTTCCTGTTTTAAAAATATTCTTACGATTCTCTGATCCAAATTATTTTTTTCTTGACATAAGAAAGGACAATAACTGTGCCATAGCGAACAAGTACATTACAAGAAAACAAGAAGTTGTTAACACTTTTTCCTCGATGTGTCATCTCTTGGCCACCCATGCTTCAACTATCTTGGCAAGAGATTTATGGTATTCGTTAAGATAAAGTATCATCCCCAAACTGATATTTGAGAAGGTCAAGCTTAGGTAATATTTCACGACAAAACTGCTTCTCCTGCCGTTTGCGTGCAAACCTATGCTTTCTTTGAAATGTTTCCAGCTGTGCATTCTTGCTACTTTTTAACGACAAGGTATGTGAAACCAAACAGAAAATACTTTTCTTTCAATGTTTTCAATCAGCATTCCAAGACCTCGATGGAAGACCCCAGAACAGAGTATGACATCATCGGAACTTATAACAAAATTTTCATTCCCTTCTCGACTAGCCCCACGGTTTCAAAACCAAACTGAACAGATTTCATTCTTTGCTCAGGTGGAATGATCTCTTTGTTTATCAGGGTAGGGGGGGACTATCATGTCCTCGCCGTAAAAAATTTTTACCAAGGTCATTGAAATGATAGTACGGGCTTTGAATTGTTTGCTGTGTAAGGAACGTGCATCACCGTAATTTTAACATGGGACATCTCCCTTCCCGAGATCTCTACTCGGTTGGCTTACGGAAAGGTCTTCTCTTTCAAAAATTTTTCGTTTAATCAGTCTTTCTTTTATCCTTTATCAGGATTTCACAGGGATATGTCAATGCTTTTTATTCGTCTTTTCCAGCAGACGGTCGAGACTTGTCTGAGCCGCCTCGCATTTTGACGCAAATTGTGGGCGGTTATTTCGCTTCTGGAGCATCATCGTTGTATTTCAGACAAAAACTTTGACCGATAATCTGGATTAAATGTGACAGTCTAGTGCACTCGGCTTAAAGCCGACGACTTTTAATTAATTTTTAATCTGCAGAAAGTTCGAACCTTATTGTCTCAAAATTTACTCGATTGAAATGTAACCTTCAATCGCAAGGCGATGTTTTACACTCCGTAATATTTCTTCCGACAAAACTTGAATATTTTAAACAACTTTCGGGCTCCTGATTTCTCTCAAGCAGAAGTTATTCTCTATTTGAACATGTCTCGTACGGACTGTATTGTTGGTAGTACTCTTCATCAAAAAGCATTGAAGAGAACTTGTATGTGACTCAAAGGTGATCGATCATGAATTTGATACTGTCCTTCGAAGATATGTCACAAGCGTTATTCTTAAGTTTCAGCGCCATCTGAAAGAAGAATGGGCAGTGTCGCGGTGCGTCCAAGCATCTCATTTCACCACAGAACGCTACAATTTTGCGTTCAGCTACGCGATAATCTATAGCCTGTTAAGTCATCTCACACCTGCGAGAACATTCAGACAACAACTTGAGTGCCAGGTCCCTATAAAAAACAATTTTGGGAAGTTTGAACTTTTTGAACCATTAGTGACTCTGAAGATTGCTTCTTCGTTGATCCATTCAGTTGTTCACGACACATACATGTTTCTACACACGTCTCTTACTGAACCGACCCCACACACTCAAATCTACAATGTCTACGTCAGGTGTTTGAAATCAACTTGCATCAGTGGTCAAAGATAACGATAACGCTCAATTTATTTTTAAACGACTTTATAAATGCCCACGATTACTAAATGAGCATTACAAACGTGACTTCAAGTCTGTTTTAACTTCCAAGTGTGAACCTAAACAGTGGTTTCTCTTAATTTATCGAATGAACCTCGGTCTGATTCGTGCCAATTAATCCATAAAACGCCTTGACAACTGTAGATCACAACATCAGTGTTCAAAGTGCCGTCCTCTTCTAAAATGAAATTACGGTGGTGACATCTTCAAAAGAGCTTAAGTTGGTATGAAACCATTGTATGTAAATATGGATACGCAAGGCGCCACAAAGTCTTGTCCTTTCACATCTCCAATACTATCATCATTGATCAACATGCATTATGGGAAAAGATGCACAAGCACATAATGACATGTCAGTGACAGTTCTTACTTCAGCTATAAAGAGCTTTAAGTCTCGATTTGACGTAATTTTTTTGATTATTTTTGGTCTACCTCACACTGCGATCGGTTTGGGAAAAACCAGTCATGTGACGCTTTCAACCAATCACATGAAAAACTAAAACAGGTGGTGACTGAAACCATTTGAAACTCGCCTGTGTCATTCCTTGCAATATATAACATATTTCTGTTTGGCCATTGTCATCACACTGTATCCATGTTTCTGTATTTAAGTGCACTCTAAAACATATTTTTTTTTCCTCCCGTCTCTTTAGACAACAGAGAGAGTTCTTACTTGCACGCTATAGCGTCTGCAGGAGTGACCTTCCAGATAACCAAGGGCTGCAGCCAGGGAAACTGGGATGACTGTGGCTGCGATTCTAAGCCCACAGGGAGAGGAAAAAAAGAAGGGGAGGCCAGCTGGGAATGGGGTGGATGTTCGGAGAACTATCGGTACGGCTACGAGTACTCTACCAAGTTTATGGACCCGGGCAAGAACGCCGACAAAACCTTATCAAACCATCTCGTAAGACACAACAATGAGGCTGGAAGAAGGGTATGTTCAATTTTTTTTTTATCATTTGATGAGCATCACCATGTTATTTTAGATGTTATTCTTAGGAACGTTTACTCGTGTCAGTTGATTTTGTGGCTTGTAAAAAGGATAATAGTCATTATAAATAGCAAATGGTTTTGCGGTTCTTTATAGCCAGAAGAGTGCCTTGAAAATGAGTTATCTGGGAGCACGTGACAGTCGAGGTGGTGCAAATGAACCCCTCGCACTCTTACATCAGTATGCATATTCTCCTTACTGTTCCCCGTACATTTCCTAAGGTGCTGACAAGGAGAATTTGTTCAACAATCAAGAACTTTATTCGTTGGGGATCATTTCTTCAATTCTCGAGACCTTTATGTTTGATTCAAGGGTGACTATGTAAAGAGAACTGAGTTAGATGCTAATCGAACTTAGGAATTAATGGGTTAAGAAAGTCAAGCCTCGTCGTTTGTGTCATTCGGAGTGACTACAACATGAGACAGATAACTATACTTCATTGTCGTAATAACTCACTAAGATGAAGAACATTACCCACAACCCTTTTAAATTTTTATGGCTTTACGGTGCAACCATGGCCGCACAAACTTCCTGCGAGAGGTAGACCTTTTCACAGAAGACAACAAATATGAAAATGATCTACCATAGTTAAATTGCAGTTAGAAATTTATGCGGTTGCTCGGAGCCAGTGCGCCTCTGTTTTGAAGTCCAACGTTTCTTTCCCAAAACAGCTAGTTATTGGTATCTATAACACCGAGCTAAAAGTATGGCGGTGTTACTCAATAGCATAAGTTGACTTGCAGAAAATTAAAGTAATATCATGGCTGCATAACAAGGCTATTAATAACCCTACAACTTCGGATCTAACGGCATTTCAAGGGTTTCCTTATGAAGTGTGAAGCGCCCTCCTATCTGCTGTTCGAGGGCATCGCCGACTTGGGCGTCGCCCATGCTAATTCTACGAACAGGGCGTGTGTATGTGCGGTAGCTGCGGCTTCCTGTTTTATGTAACCGTAATTTTCTGCTCTTTTCTTACCCATCAAACCACTACCCAAACTTCAGGTCCGTTACCAACTCGTGAAGTATTCCGCTTTCAAAATGTTTCCGTTCTGTGGAAAAATGGTAAAGACGCCTTTGACTTTTCCGAAGGTGTTCTTACTAATAGTGTTGCGGTTTGTCGCTTTTAAATCGTGGACACCAGTATGGAGCACGTTTTAATTCGATTTTAGCTTTGTTCTTCTGTGTCGTTTCTCGATCCTTGACGATACCTTTTGAGAAATCATTGGGGTAACCACCGCCCATTTCAGTCAAATTTAGATGAATGTAAAAATTTCAGGTTATGTTTTCCGTACCGTGTCCAACATTTATAGGAACGTGCTCATCAAATCCGTTTATTTTGACTACTTTGTCATCTTGTAGTTTGCTTTCCGAGTTACCTCTTGAACGTAAACAATTAAAAGATTTACCTTTGGAATACCATCAATGCCGTGGTTTCCTGACAAACAACTTGTATCGAAGTCTCGTCAAACAAGCGCCGCTTTTCTAAACAGTTTGTTTGATAAGCCGCTATATCTGATGTGATCGCTTGTAATTAGTGGCTATGTTTTTTTATGTTAATTTTTGATAGCTATTTTATCGGCAATTTTTTAACACGCGTTTAGTTGCACGAGGAACTTCAAATGTTGGCCTGGAATTATTTTGAATGTCCCTTTTTGCAGACTGTTGAAATATTTTTTACCTGAACTATCCTTGCTACGTTTTAGTTCATTTCTGTCTCTGTTCCTATTTTTTTATCTCTTTGCCACGTTCCGAGCTCCAAGTCAAAAATTATTTCCTTTGTCACAAAATGATTTATTAAACTATCCAGACTCTTCCATTTAAGTCGGCTTAAAGCACCCTGCAGTCGGCGAAAAACCCCTGGACGTCGGCTAAAAACCTCTTGTAGTTGACTTAAAATCCCTTGCAGCCACATGAGAGATGCGGTTACCCATACTAAGTAACGAGTTTTTAGAGCATTAAAACACAGCTTGATAGAAGACCACTAATTAAAAGCTTTATTTTCAAGAGCCACACTCAACAAATATCAGGAAACCATGAGGTAATCATGCTAAGATGATTACAGATGACAGATCTTTTTCTATAGCAATGAAATAAACAAACGTAAAAAATGGAAAGAAACTCACGTTTTCAAAAGCCTTAAATTCCTAGCGCACAAATGTTTTCTGTCTTTTCTATGTCTAGGATAAGATTTACGAATTGCTTTCAAGCTTGAAAACTACAGATTCAGCTTAAGGAATTGATCTTTGATGACTAGATCGTCAAATGCATCAATATAACATGTTTATAGGGGCAGTCGAGAAGATGATTGCTAGCATGTTCTGCTCATAACTATCGCAAACAGAAAAGAGTAATTACAAGCGAATGCCATAATTCTGTAAACAATAATATGAGCTGAAATCAACATGACAAATTCCTTTACAGTTTTTAAAGAGAATTTACGACTTCCGTTAAAACATCTTTGTTTTCCTCGGCAAACTAAAGAAGCGAAGAAACAAACCTAAGGAGACATGGAACACCTTTCCCATAATTAGAAACTCGAGCGGCTATTTAAATTCTTTGTTGTGCGGCGGTTTATTTTCAAAGCTTCCAACTAAATTAACAAGCATTTGATAATTTTATGATTCTTAAGACCCAGCGTGGGTCTTAAGTTACAAATTTTGCGGCTTCCGACGTAAATCGAAACAAATTTGAACACGAGGAAGGAGGTTGACCCTTTTCCGGCTGCGACTGTCGCGCGCGTAAAGCGACACCCGCGCGGAAATTTCGTGGGCGTCGCCCGTTCAGCCTAATCGCCACTTTCAGACTTTGGTTTTCATGCAGATAAAACATGATTATCGCCTTCTCATACGGTCTTCCTATAAGGATATTTGTTCATCAAATTTTTGTCATTTCCTTCTTTGTAAACCGCTGTGGCGATCATCTTGATATCACCCCCGTAATTATCAACTGTCCACGCAATAAAGGCTATAAATAATCTTCTCTTTCCTAAAAGCATTCCTTCGCTTATTCGATAGATTAAGAGATTTTTTAAAAAGATCAAACATGTCCAGTGTTTCAGAGATCACTCAATACTTAACTTTGTTATATGGCTAACAATTAACCATTGAGAACTCTTATCAATATGTTTGGAATGACTTTTTTATTACTTTTACCGTGGTACGAAACTAATATTTTGGTTTTAAGGTTTAATACTCTGTGTTCATTCCCTGATATGTTTTAACCCTTTAATGTAGGCCACAATAAAATAATGATCAGAAGCCGCTTCCTAATTTTTGTTGCTCCTTCAAAAATTAAAGAGCACTGATAATTGTGTATTTATTTATTTTGTCCGTGTGATTAATTTTGTTTTCAATTTTGTTTCCTTAAATAGTGATATATGCGCTATTATAAGTAAAATTTATGTGGAGTTCTTACAACCATTTTGGTTTGGTGAATCAGATTATTATTTATGTTAAATTACTTTTAAAAATTGATGAACTTTTCGAAATTTGGAGCCATTTTCAATTCACACAGTATCATTTCTGTGCAGCATTCAGTGAAACAAGCTTGAGGAATGCCTGTAGTTCCAATAAGTAAGCAAACATAGGTTTTTTCTACATTTTATTTTCAACCGAAAGCATAGCAATAGAAATGGTGCATTTTCGGTAGAAGAACAAGGATCACTCAATTTAGTTTTGTTTCATAACGCATCCACCTTTACTCTGTTCTAAACCTTCTCTATAATCAAATAATCCACAATGACACGTGTAAGAATTATCTAAGCTTAAAATCACGGTACGGCTCGTTGCGTTTTGCAAAACAATGTCTTTATTAGTCAGCATTTCTAAATTTTAATTAGGAGCTAGTCGATCCATTATTTTTTATTTAAAAATCACGCCCTCTTGTGTTTTTAAAGCGATATGCCTGAAGCGTGCTCACCATCAAAATGTTTGCTTTTTAATAACAACTCAGCGGGAGAGGATTGATTTTAATAGTGTGAGTTCTTCATAAAACTATAAGATCTTGTTCCTTCCCAAACAAGAGGTGTGTAAGTGGTTCATTACAATAAAGGAAGATTCAAAGTTAAGAGAAGGTTGATTAGTACACAGATTTTCAACTTCGAAAACAATTCACAGAATTATGTTTGGATAAATTCGCACGGATTTTTATGTCAATATTCTCCGTCGCCACAATTCCTAAACCCTCGGGCTGTTATCCAAGGTTTGCCTAAGTGAATTGTAGACTCCAAATTTAATTAAAATCTACCTAGCGCCTGAAATATGTATATAACAATATCACAGTTTTACCACATGAGGTGGGAAATCAGGTATTGTCTTAAAAGGATTCGAACTTTCTTCTGCGACCTCATAGCAGTGATTATCCTTCTTCATGAAGTACATTGCTTTTAAAATCAGGAATTCCATCTTATTAATACATGTGTGGATCTTTTTAACCATTTGTTGAGAGAAGAAAGGAATTTTACATTAATCTGTTGACTGAAATCGTTGCCTAAATATGTTTGATTTAGGTATGTTTTTTCCCTTTTTATCTTTCTCAATATCCGACATCATCAATCAATGTTTAATGGCCAAGGACAACTTATTAACATTACAAACTCATTTCCTTTTCAAGCACGCAATTTGAAAACAAATATTTTTTTGTCTCCCGCAGGGCATAAATTTTCATATTGATTTTATGGTTATTTCTTCAAAATGTCACATACTTCCTTATAAACAATATCTGGCGAAAACAGAAGACGAATTTTCTGGAAAAACCCAGTGGCGCAACTGAATTACTATTTTGCGTTCCTTCTTGATCACGTTGTGTGTACGCCATACCATCTACCAAAAATTCCAATGAGTACCCTCCCCCCACATTTTCGTTTCGTCTCGTCTCGTTTTTGGAAAGGAGGAGTCTGGGTGAATGATCACTGAAATTCAATGTGGCTCTGAATATGAAATGTAATATTTAAACTTAATTTTAAAAAAACAACAACAAAAACAACAACAAAAGCCGCAAAAGGAAAATCTTCATTTGCTAGGTGGAATTGAATGATGGAAAATGTGGCCCCGAACTTGTTGGAGATAGGGGAACATTGAGCTGAAATCAATGGCGGTTCTTAAATAGAAAAGCGTCAAACCATCGTATCCCTCGAAGAAATAGCTGCGTTGTTAAGATGTGAATCTACACTCCTAGACATTCTTGCTTGACGCAATGTTGTCTCTCCTATTCTACTTTTCTTTATTTTGTTTGAAATTTGTGGTTTGTCTTTTGTTTAAGGTTATCAAGGATAACATGGGCAAAACGTGCAAGTGCCATGGTGTTTCTGGTTCATGCACTGTCCGGGTTTGTTGGCGAACCATGCCTAAGATGGAAATAGTTGCTTCCATACTACGAAAAAAATTTGATAATGCTGTGAGGGTGAAACTAAACAAAAACAAAACCAAGCTCACGAGGATGCCTCGACCACGAAGAGGCCGTAAAAGGAATACAAACAACAAAAGACCCCCGCCGGCAAGTCTCGTTTATGCCGCTGTCTCGCCGGACTTTTGCCGAGCTGACAAGAAATACGGAGTTCTGGGCACGGTTGGAAGAACGTGCAGTAAGTCATCGCTTGGCACGGACAGTTGTCCCATGTTGTGCTGCGGACGAGGCTATAACACTGTTAACAGAGTGAGTGACGTCAAATGCAACTGTGCCTTTATCTGGTGCTGTCAGGTGAAGTGTGATTTGTGCAAAGAGGAGTGGATCGAACACACTTGCAAATGAGGCTGAGTGACGTTTTTGGAAATCAAATATGGATTAAATTATCATGTGTTTTTACTCATTATCCACGTGGATTTTAGAGTAAACAACTAGACGTTGAATCTTCATTTTCATGGAACGTGTTTTGGAAAGACAGCACTGAAAAGGCGACTTTATAACCCTTGTACAAGATCCAGAGGACACATATTGACCTCCTTTGAGCCACTGTGACGATTGCAAATTACTTGAAGAGGAAAACTTTTTACCTGGAGCCCAAGAATGGATTGTTTGTTTTAATAGTGTACAGCAGCAAGTTTTTCTCAACTACCACACATGTCAAGGAAAATTATTTCAAACTTTCTACCGGGATCGAAAAAATGTACTTCTCACGATCACTTTCCAGGGAAAATACTTCGGGAAAAATTGTCAAGAAAAAGTTGAAAATGTAATTTCTGATTATCGTCGCCCAGTTTTTGGGAACAGACCTCGTACAACCGCCTCGTTTCTTAGAGTAGTGGTGTTTGCACAGTGTATGTATTTATGAGAACTTGTATAGAAATCTAAACGTCTGAATTACTCACATACTTTCACAAATTTTTTTTCTCTCTCTGATTTATCCTTCTCAAATCAATTCAGTAAATCAAATTCTAAGGAACAAACTCTGTGCGGAAGACACAACAACAGTCAACGCAGATGTCCGTCATTCTCTCGCGCTAAAAGCTTCTCAAAGTTAGCACGACGTCACTATCACAGTCGCGTTGCTATGGAATCCAAGATTTTTTGAAATTATTACCCAGAGAGCAGCTGATTTTAAACTGTCTTGTACAAAAAATGCAAGATTCTTATCGAAGGAAAAATGCCAGAATGCACTCTTCTAACTGTGAAGAGAACAGGTTAAGTGATAAGAGGCCTTCAAAATATATTTCTTCGTGTATAAAAGGTTTTTTTCCTTCTAATCTAATGTCACGGGGTTTATAACCGACACGATGCAAAGAACTGTTTATGATATATTTCTGTGTATACGAGCCTTTATTTATGAAGATGACACCTCAGATAGAAAACCGGTGTTTCAACACATTGCATTTTAGAATAGGATGACTAAAATCACAAAAGAAATGAAATAAATCTAAAAAAAATTAAGTTCTTTGTCGTCCTCTTTATTTCCGAGGTGGTTTGGTAATCAGTGTGCTGAACCGCAGATCGGGTAATCAGGGCACAAATCATATACAACATACCTCATTCTAATTAGAATTCTACGTACGTACATTTGAATGAATATAAAAAAAAAGATAAAATGATTTTGGACATTCACCCCTAAAATCTTTTTTTGTAATGCAGCATGAAGATATATACTTACGAACTCGTTTGAAAAAGATGTTCAAAGATTCAGTATTTTGGTTAAATATGGAGCAATCTTTACGGCAGTTTTCAAAAGAAAATGACCTAGAATTATTTGAAAACTCCAACTTTAATATAATTCGGATGAGGAAATGGTTATACTTGGGTAAACGGCATTAAAAATCTTTTGAAAAAGAAGAGAGTTGATATCAACGTCTCAACTTTAAGGTAAACTGACCTCCTAGTCAAAACTATCTCCATTAAACGAGGCTATTAAAGCAAATAAATTCGATGGTAACATACTCGCCTTTTTATAAAAATCCGAACCATTAGTTCAAAGTTGTGCTCAAAAATCCTGATTCTGTGGAAAATCAAGAAGAAGAAAAACACCGACAGTCAAGACATGGAAACATATTACTTTCATACTGAAGGCGAAATAGAAGCGAATTGTTCTAAACTATATTATTATGTTGTTAGGAGGTTTTCAAGGTAAAGGCCTATGCGCCTTAGGGATGGTAACTGCTCAAACCCCCTCCCCCCCCTTAATTTGTTTAATTTTAATCCCGTTTTTCACCCATCTATGAGTAAACGAAAAGATATTCCAGGGATAATCACTTACACGAGACATCGATGGGACTGTTTCGTTTTCAGTTATAATTACTATCATTATAGTCATTATTTCCACCAATATTATGCTTCGGCCTATTTGTTACCACTTCATTTAAAAATGAGCTTCTTTCGGTTTCATTCCATCCCGTGCATGTAGGAGCCCTTAGGATATAAGCCCGTCACTGAAAGAACATAATTTTTAACATGGATTTGCAAAGATTCGTCCTTTTTGGCCACATACCAGTGGGAGGGAAATCAAATAATTTTGTGACGTAAAAATTCGCCTTTTCATGAAACCTCTTGAATTTGA